AGGCCGGTGATGGTGAAGTCCGGAGGTAGTGCCACGGCGGCGAGGGCGGACAGGAGCAGCAGCAGCAGCGCGGCGCGCGGCGGCGTGGTCGTGCTGCATGGTGCTCGATCGCCTGTGCAGGCTGAGAGAGATGGAGCGATCGAGAGGATGTGATCGCCAAGTTCGCAACGCATGAATGCATGCGTGGGATAAGAGGAGGACCTTGGTTTTTAGGCACCGGAATGGCTCAAAACTTTAATTTCTCTACTTCACTGGCTGGCGGCTGCTGATAGCTGCTGCCAAAGTGCCAAGTGTGCCGGGAGAGTTTGAGTTTTGACCAAAATCCATGCAAGCTTTTGAAAAGACGGCTGGATATATATGGTCCGGTGCCCAGAAGGGCCAAACTGTGATAGATTTTTTTTTAAGAAGGGTACAACTTAGGACGCACACTAACACACTGCATTCACACCACGACACACGCACACGTGCACGGGAAACGTGCAGTCCCACTAAACGTGCACGCGTATGTGTACCCTATTACCTAGCCGGGACCAACCGAAGTCAGTCCCGGGGAAACGGGGAAAAACCCTGGTGAGACATGCGAGTTGCGATCCCAGGGATCGAACCCGCGCGGGCTGCTCGCTCACCTGGCGACGCTAGCCAACCGAGCAACGCTCGGTTCTCGCCAAACTGTGATAGATAACCTACCAGCAATCTCGCCGCGACTACTTTGGCCAATAATTGGGCCTTGCAAAAATTCTGGATTAAAAAATAGAGAAAAATAAAGTCTATTCTACTCTCCCGAATAATTTCAGTGGAGCATTTAACCCCAAAACTATTTTTTTTTTTGCTCGTTTTACAAACTGATCTACTAAAAACGGTTCACTTTACTCTATAGTGCTATTTCTCTCTTTTTTTTTGTTTCTCTCATATTTTACACTGAAATTTAAAAAGAATGACAGATGCATTATAACTGTCGTCTCAACATTTTTTTAAAGATTTTTTTCTCGCTATTACGTAAGTTGAAAACACTTAAAACTGGTTAAACACCGAGATTTTAAAGTTCAAACAACAGCCATGAAAAAAAATGAAAGTAATTTTGAACTTAGCTATGCCATCTATGACTAAAACATTTCAGTCTATAATAGAGCTTGCATGTATAAAGCATCATAACATAAAAAAGAAATATTATTAATAGTAAAGCAAACCATTTTCAATGGTGTAGAGAGATAAATGAGCCAAAAATACTTTAGTGGACTAAAGTGATCTAACCAATTAGTTCGGGAGAGTAAAAGTAACACTCTCTCCCGTTAGGACGAGATTTGGTCCATTTTTTAAAATTTTGATTGTCAATAACATCTTCATCTTCAAGAGTTATTAAAAACTTGTACTCCATTTCAATTTACTTGTCATTATGATATTTAAAATTTTTATTAAAATACTTGTCACATGTTCTCGCTTTCCAAAGCAATTTTAGATGTCTTTCCCTTCCTTCTTTTTATCTAGGATATAATTAATTATTAGGATAGCCATGTAACTTGCAACACATAATTTAGTGTGAGATTTACTAAAGCAACAAGTAAATTAAAATGGAGGGAGTATATATACATCAGTTTGCCTTAAAAAGTATAATACCGTAAAACCATACACATATACAAGATTTTATAATCTTATTATAACATAAAGTAACAGCCAAAGTATTAAAAGTTTAGCTGATTTTCATCCTCTATTTGTTAAATATTTATTTATAACCGGAAGGAGTATGCACTAAGCGCCATAATTTAATATTTCAAAAGTAAGGCTAATTCGAAATAAAAGGAGGAAGCTCTGATAATCAACTAAGAGTATATAAGAAAGAAGAAGAAGAAGAAAAATGATAATAGAGTTGTTGTAGCGACTCATCCTGATACCTATAATTATATATATGAATACAAATGCGCTTTGACTAGAAATTAATTACCCCCTCGCTTTGACATTTCAATACAAAACGAACATATCATCAAAATATATTTAATGTTAGATTTAATAAAACTAATTTGACATTCTAGATGTTGTTTAATTTTTCTATAAAGTTGATAAAATTTAACAAAGTTTGACTGGGAAAAAAGTTAAACGACTTATAATATGAAATAGAGGGAGTGTAGAAATATAGTAATGTTCATGAATTTATTTTTATGCCCTTTATTCTTTGGCATATGCTAATGTGAGTGAGTATGGTAACGTTCATGCATATGTGTACTATATCTTCACTATAATAAAAAGTGAAATAAAAGAATTAAAAGGATAAAAGATACAAAAGCGCAGAGGCAGATCCAGAAAATTGATTCATTGGTGTCATAACGTGTTTATCGGTGTCATAATATACTAATTATGCTTAGAATATGATGTTATAATATATGGATAAGTAGTTTTGCTATAGGTTTTGCCGAAAGTCGTTGGTGTCGCCTGACACCGATGACTATAATGTAGATCCGCCCCTGCAAAAGCGCCGGTCCCCTAGGCTACAACAGTATGTCAAATATGTCAGAATAATGCCAATAAACAAAAAAAAATGTTACTATAATACTATTCATCACAGATTGTCTGGAACCACTATCACAAACAATTTAATTTCGATGCCCACAATATGCCATTATTTATTAATTAGTATATCAATGACATGTGCCCTTTCCCTCCCAGCAAGTAGACATGCATATTGACATATTGTGCATGTGGATGGTAAACTTCCGCTGTATCTAGACGAATAATTATACCCTACCATATCTGACGGATCAGGTCTCCAATTAAGCAGCACAAATTTGAAATTTGTGTAACACACGAAATTCTAGTCAAAGCATATTATGGGGCCTAGGTCTACATCAAGTCAAGACATTCCATCAATACTGCATTTAGCATGATAGAGGCATTGCAACAACTAATAATATGGCTTGTTTGTTTTTAGTTCAATAATTGTTTTACTCAAGCGGATTCAGCTCATGACACCCTGACAAATTTCTAGAGTTGACTCCTCAATCATTGTAATATTTGAGTTCTAACAATAGGTTAGATTCAAGATGATCCCTTCTATCTCAAAGCCCGATAAAAGTATACGACGTTGATCTAATTGACCTTTTTTTTTTTCAAAAGACTGTATGATGCTTGAGTTTTCGTACGAACTAGTATGGGTAAAAACATTTGATTTAATATTTACTAATTGGATTTGGATTGGATATATAGTCGACGATACGATCAGCCATGTCTTTTCTTAATGGCATGATACTAGCCACATCTCTTCTTGAACTGTGTTCTTTAATCACTACTAGAAAAATAGTTTTTACAGGCGGCCAAAAACAGTTTTCGCAGGCAGGGGAGAGAACCGCCGGTGTCCTATCGACTGCGAAAATAGGTGATTTTCGCAGGCGGGCCCTGCGAAAATAATTTCAGGGAAAAAAAATTACAGCACTACCCGCCGGCGCCGGCTTCCCATTCCCCATCCAATCCAGTAGTTCACAAATTCACAAAAACATCATAGTAGCATCACAATCAAATTCACAAACCAAATCAACGCATCACAATAACTTTCAAAATCATTTCAAAATCAAAACAAACGTGCCGCCTCCACGCTCGTCGTCACCAGCGGTAGCTGCCGCCGCGACCGCCCTCCACGCCGCCGACTCCACTCTCCTCGTTGTTGCCGCCGCACGGACGCCCCGCCGCCGGCCACCGGCCTCCCCCCTCCCCCTCCAACCAGATCTGGGAGGAAGGGAGGGAGGGGCGCCGCCCCGCGCCGCCGGCCACCGGCCTCCCCCTCCCCCCTCCGGCCGTCGGCCATCGGCCTCCCCCCTCCCCCCTCCGGCCAGATCTGGGATGGAGGGAGGGAGGGGAACCGCCGCCGGCTGCCCCACGCCGCAGGCCACCACGCGTCTGCGCTGCCTTCCGCCCCGCGTCCGCGCCGCCTTCCTCCACCCGCGCCGGGTTGCGCCGCCTCCGGTCAGCGGCTGGGGAGAGGCCGAGAACTGAGGGGTGGGGAGGGGAGAGGAGATGTGGAGGGGAGGGGGAAGTGGGACTTAGAAAAAATCGGCCGATCTTGATGCTGTATTTATATTCCACGCCAATTTTCGCATGCGGGTCACATAAGTGGTGGATTTTCACAGGCGGACAGCGAGTTTCACCCCGATTTGTATTTTTATAGGTGGCTATTTGGCTCCAAGGGTCATGTCGGCCTGTGAAAATAAATACCTAACATCGGCGAAAATGCGTTTTCTAGTAGTGAATACTGGTTGGGAACTAATCCTCCTTGCATGGAAAACAAAACGATGAATTAGCACATATATAATTAATTAAGTATTAGCTTAAAAACTTATAAAATGGGTTAATATGATTTTTTTAAAGCAACTTTTTATATAAAAGTTTGCAAAAAAAAAACGCACCATTAGCAGCTTGGCAAGTGTACACGTGAAAAAGGAGAGCGATGAAATTGATAACAATGACTAAATAACAAAGCCTTGGTGGCGTCGTCACAACCATTGTAATCTTCAAGATCGATCCTCTTTGCACAACCATTGTAATCTTGTGGTTGGTCTTCTGGTAGTCCCAACGTTTATTTCTTTTGTAGACAACCTTAGCATTGACAAGTATCTACCAAGTACTAACTTTGATATTACCTTGCACATCAACAAATTGATGTACGTGCACCTCTACTAATTCTAGGTGTGTTCGGCTATCATCTTTTCAGTAGCGGCTGCGGCTGTAGCAGTTCAAAATTATTGCAGCTTGCAGCGACTTTGAACTGTCGTAGCCATAATGGCTGCAGCAGCCATAGCTGCCAAACAGGGCCTCTACACATAGAGACTCGACTTTAGATTCATCGTAGTTATAAAAAAAAAGACAACTCTATATGTACACTTAATACTAACATTTTTTTCCCTATAATTTCTTTTAGATATCGGTTAGTTGGTGCGATAAATGTATTTGTTATATGTAGAAGATATGTTCTCTAGTTAGTAATGGTGCAATAATGTTGTGCAAATCAATTGATACATAGATTAGGAAATTACACATAAAAAATATATCTCAATTACTACTCCCTCTGTATCTAGATCATATTCATATTTTAAGCTCTGAATAGTTTGTATGTTTATATTTTTTCCATTTTCGTGTATATGCATCTGCTAGACAATCATTCCTCTCATTGCCACTTCCCAATTTTTATTCTCTCGAAAAAGATCCTAATAAAGCCCTTGATATTGTGTCATCTCCAATTGCAATTGTACGTGTGGTTATTAACCATTGGCATGAGCCTCACTAAACCATCTCCTGATCTCTCAACCACACAAGCTGTGGCCATGGACATGGACAGTGTAGTGGTGCACCAGAGAGGCGGCGCCGGCGCCGGCGACGAGGAGGAGGAGATCGGCGTCTTCACCGCCGAGCGCTACTTCAGCGGCGCCGACGAAGTCGACGCGCTGTGGTGCGGCGGCTCGTCGTCGTCGCTGTCGTCCGCGTTCAAGACCGGCGGCGGCCAGCAGGAGTACTGGTCGGCTGCACCCACGACGCTCACGGCGGCCACCACCTCGTCGGAGGCCAGCTGGAACAGCCGCTCCGCTCTTCTGAGGGACGCCGCCGCCGCCGTCGCCGTCGAGACGGAGGAGCCTTCCGGCGCAGGCGGTGACCTCTGCACGCCCGGAACTAAGGCGTCCTCGCCGTCGCATAATCTTCTTCTACGGTGGCTGCTCGGCGTGGCTGCGTGCGCCTGCGCCGGCGGCGGCGCGGAGGAGGCTGTGATCGCCGACGATTGTCGCCGCGACGAAGCGCGCGCAGCTGGCGTCGCCGTCGGTGGGGAGAAGCGGATCAGCACCGAGGCCGCAGAGGCGGTCGCCACGACGAGGGTGAGCCGTGGAATGTGCGACGGCGACGTGTTCGACGCCGGAACAGCCACGCCTCCTCCCCTCCCGCAGCTTGCGGAGCCTCGCCGCATCCGCACCGCCGACTCCGGCGAAGTGTCAGCGCGGGTGTTCAACACCAGAGCCACCGCCGCCGCCGCATTGGCTGCGGACGAGCGGCGGCGCAGGTCACTGGACATGTTCGCGTCGGCCACGAGGCAGCAGCAGAGCAGCCAGAACCCCGCCTTCACCATCGTCGCCGGAACAAGCACGGCGGCGCGGGACGCCGGCGGCGCAGGAGCAAGCGCCACCATCCGGCGCGATGACCCCGGCGCCGCCGCCGGCGACGACGCGGCGTCATCGGACGGGGAGCTGGTGGAGTGCGCGTACCCGCCGAGCGAGGCGAGCGTGGTGTGGAGCGTGGTCACCGCGGACGGCGTGGCGTCCGCCGGCAACTTCTCCAGCGCGGCGTCCGGGTACTACCACCATTACTACTACCACAACGGCGGCGGCGGCGACGGGCGGCGCACGGATGCCGGGAAGAGCAGCCGGCGGAGCAGCGCCGGCGGCTTGCTGACGATGGGCTGTATGTCCGATAGGGCCCTCGACGCGATCAGCCCGGCTCGTGTCGTCCACCGGCGGCCGCTGCCGCCGGGCGGTGGCCGGAGATGGTGCCACGTGGCACGCCGCCGGTAGGAAGTAGGCTGTGGACGAGGGTGCACGGAAGGATTAGTGGATGTGTGATTTTTCTGATTATTTTTAGAGGTTTTTCTTGGAAATTTGAAATTATTTTGTAAAGGTTTCATTGTTTTGTTAGAAGATGGACACCATCTGTGATGGAGATACTCTATGAAATGATGAGCACTAATCAAAATTGTCGTCATCAATGTGCAGCCAAGACCACACACTACAACTTTACAACTTTAGAGTAAGGCTATTCCCAACCCAATGACTACGATGGTGTCCATAGCATTAAATAAGCTGTCACCTAGGATGAAAAATGATGTGGCAAGTAAATAAATGAGGATAGAGAAGGAAACCATGTCTTGCATGAGACATGGTTTTTACACAACATCCAAGACATCATGTGAGACAAATAACATTAAATTTAAATATGGAATAGTGGTGTTTGTATTGGAAGAGTAGTGTCTATTACTAGTTTCTTAATGATGTGGAGTTTATGAAAACCATGTCTAGTGTCTTGGGTTGGGAATGGCCTAGTTAGAAAACGAATCTTTTAGCGGTGAGCCATCGCTGAGATCTTGTTTGTTAGGGCAGTCCCAACCTTCCATATAGAATAGTGTCTATGACATTAACTGCATTGTCATGTAGGACTTTTAACTTATGTGACACTATATTAATTAAGAGAGAGAGTGAAGAGAGAAAGAAATTAGGTCTCATGCAAGACACAGCTTCAACACAAGAACATATGCACTAGACACTATCAAGTTTTGCATTGGGAGATAATAGTGTCTTAATAATAGATAAAGAATAAATATGATTGGTAGATAAGAGAGATGATGTATTTATTAATGACCCACTTCAAGAAACCATGGGTTATAGAGTGTAGTTTCTAGTATGATGTCTTATTGACATGACATCATAGACACTGCTTATGGACACTATGGTTTGGGATTGCCCTTATGCTTATTTGACTCTGTTTATCAATTTATCGTGCCATATGTAATCTGTTAAAGATTGTTTTATTTCGACTAAATTTTGTAGACTACCCGGTATTTTGGTTCGAGTTGCATAAATCACAGTAATTTTAGCATGTGACACATAACATCAAGTATTATGGTCTTAAGATTTCACAAATGTGACACATAACATCAAGTATTATGGTCTTAAGATTTCACAAAACTCCACAGCATTTAGACGATAGATTAAACGAACTCAAATTAAATTTAGAATTCATATGTATAGTAGATCAAAGAAAAATTAAAAATTAAATAACGGTGTGGTTTTATAAAACTATAGGACCATAATACATAACCAGGTTATGTACAACCCATTAAAGCTCTTGTGGTTGCAACTTAAACCAAAATAAATGAGGTTTTGTGAAATTTGCTCTTTTATTTCCTTGAGAAGAAGTACAGCAAGAGCTAATATTCTTAATCTTATACAGATCATAATTCTGGACTGCAAACCAAGACATATACAGAACAGTAGTCCATGCAAAGGGATGTGATTCTCTCCAGCTATGAGATTCACTGGACACAATGCCAAATCAAAATGTCCTGTCTGATAACGGCTGGAAGCCTCACTACATAATTTCTCGGACACAAGAAAGTGATAATCTTTATTTCTTTTATTCCTTTTGGGAACAGCAGTACACTTAGCCCTTGAAATGATTCCGAGGTATCGTAAGTGGAACTTAAGCTTCCATAGGACTTCTTTTCAAATAGAAACCAGAACTAAGCTGACTTTGCACACAAAGAACTATCAAGGAAAGTAAAATGCATTGGGTTAATTTTGTTAGAGTGGCCGTTTTAATTTGGACAATGGAGAATAAATTAGCTTCTTTTTTCTCTGGTATCCTTTGAAGATTTTGAACTATCACCATCAGATGGAAAAGGGATACGATTTATCAGGAACACTAATGCAGCACCGATCAAAGCACCAGATAGATGGGCAATATTGTTTACTTGCAGCGAGTGCCCTGTAACAGTAGTTGCCCGTGCGGCTTCCATGACCTATCAAGGTAAGAACCAAACCATGAGGGGTAAATCAAGAATGTTCATTTGGTACTTAAAGATGGTACGAATATAAAAAAATCGGTACACAGTTAAGTAAAGCATTTAATTTACTGTAGCAGTAGTTAGAGTAGTTACATACTCCCTCCGTCTCAAAATATAACAACTTTTAGCCCTCAGGATTTGTCCTAAAATATAATAACTTATCCACCAACATTCTTTTCCCAACCAATCACAATCCTCCACCATTCACTTTTCCCACCTACCTCCACTACTCATCCAATCACAACTCTCAACTATTCACTTCTATCTACTCTCTCCGTTTCTAAAAATTTGACGCTGTTGACTTTTTAAGCATGTTTGACCATTCGTTTTATTAAAAAAAAAGTAATTATTAATTCTTTTCCTATCATTTGATTCATTGTTAAATATACTTTCATATATACATATAGTTTTACATATTTCACAAATTTTTTTGAATAACACGAACGGTCAAACATGTGCTAAAAAGTTAACGGTGTCAAACATTTAGAAATGGAGGGAGTACTTTCTTAATAACCATGTCCAACTCTAAAACTTCTTATATTATGGGACGGAGGGAGTAAGTAATAAGTTATGCTTCAAATATGTTGCTAGAAGTAGAGCACACTACCTCTTTTCAGGGATGACTACTTATTCTAGTACTTAACACCATTTGCAGAGTTACAAAAGCCCATAGGAATTACCATCGATAATCAAAGTCTCCCTTGAATTGTCAAATATCTGGGAATGTTTAGATATTTATGTATATCACAGATGGAAAAACAAGTCAATCCTGAATGGTTAAAAACAAGTCAATCCTGAATGGTTTGTCCCATCACAGCAATGAATGTTTATGGTGTAAATCTACTCCCACCGATTCAATGTGTAGGTTGTTTTAGCCTTCTCAAGTTCTCAGCTCTTCTCTGTAGGTCGTTTTAGAACTTTTAGGCACTTTCTCATGTTTCCATGTTTGCCCTTGTCGAATACATGCTACATCTCTCACAAACAAATGACTCATATTTCCCAGTTAATGTAGTACAAATGAAGGGCAACAAATTCATTTAAACTATTTTCTTACTTGCTGTGAATAAAATGACATCTATTTGGAATTAAAGGGTGTATTTATCTACAATTAAGTGGGTTGGTACTATAGAATTCTAACAGAATTCAGTCATTTCTTGAAATGGACAAACTGACATTGTTTACATCTGAATTTAGCACCTAATACTGAAATACTGGATGGACTGGGCATCCCACAATCACCCAGGGGAAAAAGATCTCAGCGAGAAATCACATTTAACTGCCATTTTGGCAAGTACCTGTTCTTAACTTATTATCAGAACTTCAGAAGGGTAGGTTAATGGGTTAAATGAATGATACTACTTGTTTCCCTTTTTTGGCAGAATAGACATATTCTCCTTTCCTATAAATTATCCAAATATCAAACGCTAAAAACAGCATTTTTATTTTTTTAAAAAAGAAAAAACTGATGAAAACCAGACACTAACTGGTCATGAGGAAATTTTTTTTAAATGGAAAAAAATGAATCCCTGCCTGCAGTTTTTTTTTGTCTCAAAAAATATAAGACTTGTTCATGATTTCTCTTACAAGTCTACAGTTGAATACTTGAATGACTATAAGTAAAGAAATAAGAAAGTGTTGTGATATACCTTGTCAACAACAAATTGACCAAGGATAAGGACCTCAAGAATCTTTCTCCAGTCCCATGACATCTGTTGCAACAAGGGAACAAAGAGGTGAAATAATTAAATGATATGACAATTCAGGCAACATTTTGAAAGTGACCAAGATTTAAACAGTCACCTTCACTAGAACACTGATTGTGAAAAGGCCAAAAACAGCACCAGATGCTCCAAGTGACACGGAAGATGTTGGAAGAACCAACCATGAAATTAAGTTTGATCCAGCACCAGTCAAAATGTAAGACATCCACAATGCAAAACTACCTTCTTCCTCCTCAACTAGCTTTCCTGCATTATTTACAATAAATTGGTGATCCTAACAGAACTGTCACCATCAAGCAGCACATTTGTTTTAGCAATTGATTCTCACCAAAAATGTATACAAAGAATAGATTGCTTGAAAGATGATTCCTACAATAGATCATGAACAACTGAATAAGTGGCCATTGAACTCAAAAGGAAGTTAAACAGGGTACAGTTCACACATGTATATTTGCTACCATCTTTATCCCTTTATAAACGGATTAAATAAATTTTCTGATGTTAAAAGAAAATGAAGGAAGTGGAATCTGGAATATCAAGTAACGAGTAACAACTAACCAGTTCGCATGGCAAAATGTTGATGTCACAAACTGAAACCAACTAGGGAAAGCATGGTACAAGTACATTGCCTTTATATGTTCAATCTGAAATGCAAGGAGACAACAAACAACAAAGTAAAGATAAATTTCAACAGATGAATTAAGAAGAATAGATATGTGCCCGTGTTGTTTTGTATATAAATCAGCTTTGCAAGATATGCGCTTAACTGCTTATCATGTTTAGATATAGATCAAGAAATAACAATCCACAAGACACCTCTTATGACGTTAGAAAATTACAAATTTGGTTTGTTAAAGGCCAGAGACTCTTCCCGTTCACTCAAGGAGTGTCCATGGGCACCTCTGAGCCTAGGGCCTAAAGCCAGTGGAACAGCCTATTAGCCTCTTCCAAAAGTTATAATGTTATGCAAGCTAGTATTACAGAGATTTATATCCAAATTTCATGTTTTCTATTTTCTAATAAACAAAGCACACATCCTTTAGCCTACTATGGTTGTATTTTTTAAAAAAAATAATAAGATGGCTTATTTCTCCTTCCGTTGATCTTTTATTGAGGGTTGCTTTGCTTGTAATGACAATCAAAATATGCCCAAGGGAAGTACTCTAGTATAAATTAACAACTCTGAGGCTACATCTTCCTGAATTGTGCAATCTTTCTAGCCCGCCGCTCTACAGTGCAACCCACATTGATTGATTTGTGCAGATTAAAACAACCAACTAATCGATCCTACTTTTTATTTTTGTTTCTTAGCGTTGTCATTGTACCTGGAACAAGTGGTCAGCGACATAGATTCCAACATTGAGCAGCAAGATCCAGAAAATGCCATTGGGACGCCTCCCCTGCCACTGCTTGTCCTTGGCAAGCTCCAGGTCCGCCACCAAGTCTGATCACAAGCACAGGTCAGTGAACCACACACCTAAATTCAATCAACGAATCACCACCCGCGGCAACACAAATCCACCTCGCGGCGGAGGGCTCGCCTCACCCACCTGAGCGCCTCATCCCGCAGCGGAGCGAGCGGAGCAGGTCGCGGCGGCGGGCGGCGTAGGCGGAGGAGGAGAGGCGGAGGGCGGGGAGGGGAATGGGAAGGGAGGGGAGGGGCTTCGAGAAGGTTCTGGAAGGTAGCGGGAGTGGGAGGAGGAGCAGCAGCTGCTGCGCCGCCATTGTTTCTTCTCTTCCCCACCTTCTTCGCTTGGATGTTCTTCTCTTGCTGAGAGAGAGAGAGAGGAGAGAGGCCGGGATTTATGAGGAAGGTGGGGGCCCACTTTCCAGCGAGAGGGTTCTAGAAGGGTGAGGTGTGTTTGTTCCAGCCGTGAGATGGAGGCAAGGAATGTCAGGCAGGTACTCAGGTGTATCCTTTTTTATCTGATGACGCTACTCGTATCATATTTAGGGCACGTTCACTTTGATGACCATACTATTTTTTTCTAAAGTTGTAAAAAAAATGTCTACGTTTAGTTTGTTGCTCAATTTGATTAATATATAAGAAATCTTGTCAAAATTTTAGCAATATTACCATCTTGCTAAAATTTTGGTATTGCCAAAACTTGATAAGGTTTATGTTGGTTACAATCTGAACAGACCCTTAATCATCTTAAGATATAATGAATTTTAGGTGAATTTAATATATTGAATTATAAATCTAAACAATAAGGATGCTCGGTTCTGTTGGATGTCGCAACGGCTACGGCTGTGGCCATTCAAAATGACTGCCGGCGGCAATAGCTTGGAGCTATCGCAGCTGCAGCGGCTGCGACAACAATCACTACCGATCAGCCTTAATATATTATTAATTTTATGTACTTTTAGGCAAGGGTTATCAACAGTTTCAAACTAATTTTGTAGTAATTTAAAATTTTATATGATTTTTTAATTTCTCAATATCACCAGTTATGGTTGAAATTGTATAGCCTTTTAGGTATTTTTAGAGCCGATGGTTTAAAAATAAATATTATAGGGCTTTATTTACTCATCACAAAAGTTGTCATAGGATGAGGGTTAGTATGTATAAGAGCGTCTGCAGATGCACAAAACGAACGATCGTAGCAGTTCAATTTGTCATAATATCCTGTGAAATTTCCTCAGTTCCGAAGAGGCATGAAGCAAGAATGTTGGAAGGGCCTTTATCATGCCGAACACGACAAGAACTGGTTATAGCAGAAAACATACCCTGGAAGATTGCAACTGCAATCCGCTAAGCTGGAAGACTAGGATATCATCTTTAAGGGAAAAAAAAAGGAACAAGAATAATGCCCCAAATTTCACATGGGTTAGTACTGTATTCCCAAAGTGTGCTACAGGGAAAGAATGGAATATCAAAGGTAAAGTCCTTACGTTTCATCATTGTTGAAAGGGAGTATCTATATTTATGGCGCCATATTTTTTATCAAAAAATAGTCGGTATGTATTTACATCGTAAGTTTCTAAATCACATATGTAATTTTAGTTTATTTATAATGTAAGTCCCAAAATTACATATGTAATTTTAGTGTATTTACAATGTAAGTTTCAAAATTGCATATGTAAGTCTCAAAATTACATATGTAATTAGTATGTAATTATAGTGTAATTAGTATGTAATCATCTATCATCACGCGATATATGTGTGGAAATAATCTTCTCTCTTAAGGAAGCACATGCAGTGGGAGGCCTGTGCGGCTGTGTGACCAATAGGCATGTATACCGATTGTAATCAACGGAAATTTATAGCGACATAAACGTAGCAAATCCGTTGTTGAAAAATCAAGGAAAGCGAGTTTTATTATCTTGTATCAGGTTGATGATTAACTAATCAATAATACATCAACTACAGTTAGATCACACAATGCTTTGTTTCAACACATCAAACAAGGTCAATGCAGGCCAATTACAGTATGTAGCATAACAGGTCAAGGCGGCCCTGCCCAGAAATCATCTTGTCCTGTCTTTGACAGAAACACAGTTTAGAGAACCCTGGCAGTATGAAGTCATCCTCTAATTCTTCCAAGGTCTTGCTACCAGATGCAACCTGCTTGTTGGAAGTCATCTTCTCTTGGACCATCAGGTTCTTGTTTTTTTTTTTAAACTCATGCATTTAATTAAAGTTCAGAGAGAGAACATGAGTAGGTACAGTGCTCAGAGCACAGGTCACTGGGATTAGGGCTGTCAACGAGCCGAGCTCGAGCGAGCTTAGATCCTCAGGCTCGAGCTCGGTATGAACTCGAGTCGAGCTCGAGCCGAGCCTGGACTAACCTTCGAGCTTGCAGTCAAGCTCGGGCTCGGCTCGGACGAGCCTCGAGCCTAATCGAGCTCGCATCAACGCAACACAAGCATGTGTACATATTTCAAAAAGTAGAGAAGCTGACAGAAAGCTGCAGCTGGGCACGTTGTGTAGAGATACGGCCATACGGGAGCACTAGTGTACTGTACTACTAGTACTAGCACAGGAGTAGTCTGCTTTGCTACTACTACTAGCTTTGGGAGTAGTGTTCAAGAATTGATTGCTTCTGTACTTCACATAGACCAATGTTGGAGTAGTAGCAGACCAAGGAAAAGCATCGATGATTTTTTATTGGAGACCAAGGTAAAGCATGAGACATGACAGTTACTAACTAGTACTCGTGTCTTTACCGAGCTATTCGAGCTCGGCTCGTTAAAGTACACGAGCCTCATTTCAAGCTCGAGCTCGGTTCGTTTTAGGCTCAAGCCGAGCTCGAGCCGAGCCTATAACGAGTCGAGTTCGAGTAGCTTGCGAGTCTCGAGCTTTTTTGACAGCCCTAACTGGGATACATCCAGTTTTGCAAAGGAGCCCCTCAAGATTGGGCAAATTACACTTTAAGACAACATTTTGCAGAAAAAGACTTAACAAGAAATCGAAAAAGCAATCAGGTCCTTCTCCTTTGTCTGCCTTCAACGCTGCCGACGAGTTCTTGAAGCTCGGCTCTGATGGAGGCTGGATCAAGATGAGCCGCTTAAGATTAAGCCACCACAGAATCCCGGAAGGGGCCTCACACACATGGAGGTTTGGATGGTGACAAGCAATGGAAGAAATCAGCATCATCACATATAAATTCCAACAGAGTTGAAAAAGAGGAACAACGCCAAGGCAGTGCTTCCAAAGATGACAAACGAATCCACCAGACCAGCGAAAAATCCAAGAAAAAACATGGTGATCTGCTGCAGAAACCAGGAGGCGAATCCTTATGGGGCCTCTGCACATAGGAGGTTGGAACTGCCTCGGTGGAGCTTGAAAACCTCAGGCGCCTTGAAAGAGAGTTTCGCTGGATATTGAGAATAAGGCCGCCATCTTTGGAAGGAGGTCGCCGGAGAAAGAAAAGAAGGCCGGCGCTATCTTTGACTCCACAAGATTGGATGAACCCCCGACAAAGGCGCTTAATAGACACCCAGCTTCAACGAAGACCGTCACCGGTTCTGAAACCGGTGGCACTCACCGTGGTACCAGGACGAGGGAAGCCGGCGCTGACGGCTGCCTCAGAAGCTAAAAGACCAAAAACAACTCGGGAGAACCACGACCATATGGGAAGACCTGACTAAAACTACAACTAATAGAGGGGTGTGAGGGGCCGGATCCCTCTCCATCCCTTCCACGGCGGCGAGCCACCAGGGAAGAGGAGAGAGAGGGGCCGGAGGGGACGAAAGATTCCTGTAGAAAGGATTCGGGAGAACTCTCGAGAGAGGAGGAGAAGGGTTTAGGACGAAGACCATCAGGTTCTCGTAGCTCCTGATTTCAGCCTGCTTCTCCTTCTCAAGCCTCTCCATCTCTTCCCTACAGTACGTTTCTGCAATCAAATAAATAATCCATTTTAATAGTTGCAATGACATGACATACCATAAATATTCATCCAGGCAACCTGGGCTCAGCAAATTAAACCAAGAACAACAGATTTAATAAGTTGATAACTAGCTTGTTGTGAAACCGACAAACCATGCATACATAAATATACAATCTTCTGGTATTTATGAAAGAATAAGTCTACCTAACTTCCTGAATTAGTGGTTCGTCTACTTAGACACTTCCTGAAGTATGACACCAACCCATGCAGTTTACTCCCCGAGATTGTTTTGCTATGTAGGCAATAACCAAACTGGTACAACCACTCCTCTTTTCTCTCTCTGACGGGCTTGGCCAGAGGACCACTAGTCAGCACTACCGTTCTTCCCATTAGTGAAAAAAATATTTGAACAAAATGTATGGCTATGTCATCATCCTCATTATAGTCCACATGGGCAATAATTCTTACAAAACAATCTGAGGTGTAAATTGTATCGGTTTTCATACAAGGTTGGACCGTTTGGTTTCATATTTCAAGGGGTTGAATAAAGTTTTTCCTTAATAAAAAAGACATGTAGGGTGTGTTGGGCGGGCAGGTGCAGCAGCTGCTGCAGCCAGCCGCTACCCATTATTTGCTTGCTTTCACTGTTCGTATAGGCTACAGCGCTGCTGCAGCCCTTGCAGCCGAACACACCCGAAGCTGATAATAGCATGACATTCAACAATAAAATGAGATCTAGGATGGGAATGTGAGATATAACTTACTTTGTCTCTAAGCGTGGGTCCCACGTGGATCCCACATGTCAAGATGCCACACCATCCCTTTTCTCTTTCCCCTCCTCTCACGTTCTCTCTCTCTTCTCTTGGGAAGGCCGAGCGACGCGTGGGGAGGAGACCGGGGGGGGGGGGGGCGACGGCGGCGGCGACATGGCGCGACGGTGGCTGGCAACGCGGTGGCGGCGGTGACGCGGGAGAAGGGGAAGTAGTGGTAGCCAAGGCCACAGGGGCGGCAGGAGAAGGCGAGGTGGGGGTCGACCGCAACGGGAGAAGGCGAGGTGGGGGCGACCGTGCCACGATGAGGAGAATGATGAACCCTGAGTTCCTCTCGACACTCAAGGCTGTTGTTGGCCCGATCTTTCGGTGAGTTGTGATAACTACGATTTGGGAGAAACGTTGACGATCCGACTATAACCGTACGAGACGTTGTGTTGCGCCTTAGCGATCGATACACCTCTCCGTGGGTTGCTGATCTTGCCGGTGCAGATCAACCCTATTCCTGCAAGCAAATCGAAGAAACAAGCAAGAACAAGATAAAAGCAATCTGATATTGCAAATAGGAATTTAATACAAATGATAAGTTGGGGTTCCGAAGAACAAGCAGACGGACGGTCTAGCCGACACGCGCGCTGCAAGCAAGTAGCAATGGCTAAACTTTAATCTAACAAAACCCAAGAAA